AGAATGAATATATATATATATATATATATATATATATACCATTGGGCCACCACTTATTCTGAATGAAAAGAACGATAACGTCTATGACTTTAGGTAGTATATAACACATTAACTAAATTGTTTAGGAAGTCTAAAGAAGAACTTAACATGAACGGATGCTCAACGAAAACTGAACGATGAATACAAACTCTCAATCACAGATTATCTATATCTATATAATATTACCGTAAGACTCTTAAGCATTATCCCTAACTCATGATAATTCAAGTAAGACCATGCACTCCAAAGAAGAACCGAACGCTCGCTACTGACGCTCGACCATGCTAAACACCTTTGCTCAGAATACTACGGTTCGAAGATTGAACTCTATCCCAACTCAGTTCACAGCGTATATCATACGTCCATCCACACATCCAAACCAGTAGTACAATCATATTTCATACTCATCAAATAATCACACGTATCATGTAAGCATACAAACATTCAACACAACAAGGTAAATTAAATTATATAAGCTTCTGTTACCTCTAAGAGTGACCAAACGTTCACAATTTGAACATAATAGCTCACCACCAATCTCTTAGAAGACTACGATCACGATTTACGAAACTAACCAAATGAAAGACCAGGAAGGCGTTCAAAATTGGGTTAAGGAACTCAGGTAACCGAAAACTGAGTTTGCATGTACAAAAAAACCATTTGGCTGAGAGAGATGAACTTACCAGTTCAGAATCCAAAACTGATCGGTTCAAACGAACGCCCTCGACGCCGGGAGTGTTCAGACGGTGCCTGAGAGGTGATCGGAAGAAGAAATGGTGAGGTTTTCTTAGAGAGAAGGAGGAAATTTTATAGAGAAGAAGGAGAAAATGGTTTTCAGCAGGGTGAGGAAAAAGAAAGGCATGCAGAGAAGTGACATGACATTTGAAATTTTTCCTTAAATATTGTCGTCGTCCAAAACGAACGATCACTCCCTTGCAGCCACCTGTTCTCCACTAACTGAGACGCTCACTCACTTCTTAGCACATGAATCCCACTACTTGAGGTTTTTGGATGTGTTTTAATTGGATAAAAAAGAATACTAAATCTATATTGTGAAGAACACGTAATTGAAATTAATTGTAGGAATACATTGATTTTAAAAAGACATTTTGTAAATTGTTGACCTATAATGTTAATTGTTTGTTTATAAGTTGCAAGAGATCCAAACTATACTCGACCAATTTAGGTCTAGTTACTTAAAGAATCAAATTTAAATATTTTAATGAGCGATGTTATAATTTAAATTCTGTAAGATAAGGTTTTTTTTTATGTAATTTAATGAGTGATTTTGCAAAACTCTACCATAAAATATCCACATTACATCTCTTTAATATGTATTTATGTTTCAACAAAATTTTCATTTCAGAGTTTAATTTTTTATTTTATTAAAAATAAAAAGATGTAATTTTACAAAAATGTAATAAATAAACGTTCTATAAGTTGAATCTTACTCGTCTGCTAAAATTTGATATTTAGACATAAATATCTATTGTCCTACTCCGTACACTTTTCAAAATTCTTAACCATTTGATGTGTCGTTAGTGATTAGTTATAGAGCCAATAAACCTATACCCCATGATTTGGTAAAACTAAAACTGTTCTTGTAATAAATTAATCTTAACAATTTGATTTCGTAATTTTCATCAACCCTAGTTATAGAGTTGTCAACACTCAATTTTGTCCGGGTTGTAAAAAGTTCTATTTTTATTGGTTATTTATTATTTTCCTTTTTTTATTTTATCTTTTTGTTTTATTCTATTTTTATGTATTTAGATCTTTGCTTTTAATTCAATTTCTATTTTATTTCTTATTTTCAATTTGTTTTAATAGAGTTTATTAATCAAAATAATTAAAAAATTGAAAAATAAAATTAAAATTAAAAATAATGAAAATAAATAAAATAAAATTGAAATAAAAAATAAGAAATAAAAAAAAACGTGGAAAAGGGGGAGAGGATGAATGGGACGCGTGTCTGGAATGAGGGGGACAAGGTGGTTAAGGGAATATTTTTCGAAGATTTTTGGAAAGAGAAAAGGGGGATACCAGGTGGTTAGAGGGGGGATTTTTGGGGTTTGATCAGAGGGAGAAAAAAGGGAAAAGAGGGCGCACGAGGAACCATTATCTGGTATCATCATCCAGAGCCATCATTGGCACCGGCACCGGCAGAGAAAGAGAAGGACGAGAAGAGGTAAGTCTCTGTGCTTCCAGACTCATCGTGAATGCTTACTGCATACTGCTTCTTATGCTTATTCCATCATGAATGCTTTTACTCTGAACATCATGAGTTCCATCATCACCAACCTCCCCTTCCATTCATTTTCTGTTACACCTTGTTTCCTCTCTCTGTCCTAACTCCCACGCTCACGGCCAATCTCAACAAACCAAAATCAAACCCATTATACAATCAAAAAACGGAGAGCGGTCTCGGTAGTGAAAAGCGGAGAGCTCGACGAAGAAGCGGCGGCTCTTGTATTTGAACTGACGGAGACGAACCCCTCCCTGGGATTGCCAGTGTCGGAGAGAGCAGATAAGAACAAGGAAGCAGTGGCGCGGTGTGGCGTGGCGTGGTGCGGTGGCTAGATTGAGAAAGAGGATGGCATGGTGGCTGGTCCGTAGAGACAGGGATACGGTGGCCACCTTCGTTGCGGTGGCTAGTCTGGTCCGCGGTGGTCAATCGGAAGAAGACGTGGCCGTTGAGTGACAGAGTGAACCCTTTTGATCAGGGAGAAGGAGACATTGGTCTCATCTGAGAAGAGCAGCGTGAATGAGTGAATGAGAATGGGAAGGCTGAACCCCTAGGAAAATTCTAGGTTAGAAATAACCCCTGTGGGCCAAGCCCAGTAGTGAACCAACGAGCGCTCGTTATCCAAACGAGCGAACGCTCGTTATCCAAACGAGCGAACGCTCGTTATCTTTAAGCTTTTTGACCGTTCGTTCAACATTCTCACCAACGAGCGCTCGTTATCCAAACGAGTGAACGCTCGTTAACCTTAAGCCTTCTTGAGCATCCATTCACCATCTTTACCAATGAGCGCTCGTCATTTAGCTTTCGTTCCAAACGTCCGTTCGCCACATTTCTTCAACGAGCGCTCGTTCTCAAGCTTTCGTTCCAAGCGTCCGTTCACCATCTTTCCACAACGAGCGCTCGTCATTCAGCCTTCGTTCCCAATGTCCGTTTGTAATTTCAACAACGTCCGTTCGTTATGTCTCTCTACGAACGCTCGTCATTCTGTGCCCTTTACAACGTCCGTTATATTCCCCAATGAACGTTCGTTTCTTTCGACGAACGCT